AGCCTTGGTGAGTAAAGGAGACTTGTTTCAAAAGCATTCAAACATCTTAACAACCCCAAACTTTTGAACAGTAGAGAACATTATATTCATTTTGGTTTCCTTTCTCAACTTCAGCAATCATCATTGGACCTTACGGCCAGCCTCTTACAGTGTACCCTTGTATGCTGTGTGGGAAGAAGTTCAAGTCGCGCGGTTTCCTCAAGCGCCACGCCAAGAATCACCATCAGGATGTCGTAAACCGAAAGAAATACCAGTGCACGGACTGCGATTTCACCACTAACAAAAAAGCCAATCTCCACAACCACATGGAGATCCACACCCTCAGCAGTAAAGCCCCATTTGAGTGTGAAGTGTGTGGAAAGGAGTTCCACCAGCAGGCGACGCTGTTCTCCCACCGTCTGCAGCACCACCACCGAGAATCCAAGCTTCAGATCTCACCACCCACCAACAAAATGCACATGTGCAAGTTCTGTGAATATGAGACGGCAGAACAAGGACTTCTCAACCGACACCTGCTCGCCGTCCACAGCAAGAATTTCCCTCATATTTGCGTAGAATGTGGGAAGGGCTTCCGGCATCCTTCGGAGCTGAAGAAACACATGAGGACCCACACCGGCGAGAAGCCCTACTCCTGTCTTTACTGCGACTACAAATCGGCCGACTCGTCTAACTTAAAGACGCACGTGAAGACCAAGCACAGCAAAGAGATGCCCTACAAGTGTGACCGCTGTTTCCAGACGTTCGCCGAACCCGACGAGCTGTTACAACACGGACTGACGCACGAGGAAGCCAAAACGCACCATTGCACCCACTGTGACCATAAAAGCTCCAATTCCAGTGACCTGAAGCGCCACATCATTTCAGTTCACACCAAAGACTATCCACATAAATGTGAGGTCTGTGGAAAAGGCTTCCACCGGCCATCCGAGCTCAAGAAGCACTCGGCCGCACATAAGGCGAAGAAGTTACACCAGTGTAGGCATTGCAATTTCAAAATCGCAGATCCGTTTGTTCTCAGCCGGCATATTTTGTCAGTGCACACCAAGGAACAGCAGGCTTTTCCTGACAAAAAGAGTCTTAAGAAGACATTTGGACTCGGTGCTCATGGGGGTAAGAAAATTTTGGGCGGCACCGGTTTGTCCAAGGGCCATCGGGAGCGGCGGGTATACCAGTGCCAGTATTGCGACTACAGCACAGGTGATGCGTCTGGCTTCAAAAGGCACGTGATCTCCATCCACACCAAAGACTATCCTCACCGCTGTGACTTCTGCTCGAAAGGCTTCCGCAGACCGTCGGAGAAGAATCAGCACATCATGCGGCATCATAAAGACCTAATGCCTACTATGTGACCTTTGCAACACCAATCAGAAAGCCATCAGGAAAAGGTCCGTTCTGATGTAGCTGTGGTCTTCAGGGCCAAAAGCTGACTGTTGGAAAGCCAGCTAGAGGCTATTTCAGAGAAATTAAAAATCCACCTACTAATGTGTCCGGTCACAAGCTACACTGCTGTAATGTTTTGAAAAGACGCATTACTCCAAAGTTTAGTCAATCTTTGTCGAGAGTCTAAAACCGTTGTTCTGACCAGCTTTAGATTAAATGCAAAAATAGATAAACTTGCATATTAAATCATCAAGGGTGGACATTAAGTTTTATGTTGGTGCGTCTGGTTATAAATTTGAATTATGACTCCTGTATCGCATGTTACACAAACCATGTTTGAATAGCATTGATGATTGTGGCGTGTATATGCACATGCGTTTACAAGTACGGAAGTGCTAATGCTTTATTGACCGGTTTCTTAGCTTCAGATAAGCAGAATGTCTAATTAAAATGAATTGGGAATACTCATCTTATGCCCTGGCTGCTAAAAAAATATAATTTGAGAGAAAATAGGCTGTTCAGATAGGCAGATAGGCTTTGGGGAAAAACTAACCCGATCCAAACCAAAATGCATCGTCAACATTGGTGCATTAATTTAAAAATTCCAGCTGATATTTAATAAAGAAAATGACTGGAGTGTAATGTAGAACAGGGTTTCTTGCTAATATTTACATGAAAAATTATATTGCAAATAGTTCTCAGCTCAAAAGGAGATCTTGAGATTTGATCAGTGTGCAGTCATCAAATCAGGCCGAATGGCTGATAATCTAAATTTGTTTTAATTTAGACGCTAGTATGTTTGTGTATTTCTTGAATGTTGCCGTTTGGCTTCTGGTCTGTTTGTTGTAAAACTCACCCTCAAATTATTATTATTATTATTAAGATGTTTAGGATAAATTTTATTTTTTACACAGATACTGAAAATGTATAATTTGGAATAAAGAGATTCTTAAAGATGTTATGTTATGTGTATAAGAAATATTTGTAAATACAGAAGTAATAAACAGTATTTTGTGTCCAAAATGTTTATTTGTTTCTTTATAAAATTGAGAATTTGAATGAATCACACCAACATTTGTCATTTGTAAACCAATTTAATCCAACAGCAGTAAACAAAACCACCAACAACAAAAAAATAAAAGCACTGTTCATAAAAAAATGTGTGGCATTAGTGACGAGACCAACATCAACAAATTTGCATGACAATAAAGAAACATGAGTTCCAACTGAAAAGTAAAATGCATCATTTGGATAAGGTAATGCTTTGCCATTCTGTCCCCCTGCTTGAGATGTCCTTTGAAAAGCTATGGAGTGCAAAATTGATTTGTCATCATGTGTGAACAACATAACTGTGTTTAAGGCACAAAGTGAAAAAGAACAAAACCGAGCAGACGAAAGCCAGCAAATTCAGATCTGTTTTCAGATTAAACGATCAGTCCAGCTGAAGTTGTCTTTGTCCTTATTTGGTTGATGATACCCTCAGGCATCTGAGCACTCTCCTGTAAAAGCAGTTGACAGTCAAATGTTAGTTTAAAAGATTCATGTATTATGTAGGCTATATATTATGTATTATAACTGAAAGGGACTTGATAATTGACTGTACCGTTTTGTGGCAGTATGGCAATGTTTTCCTCAAGGATGCCGGTGTCCAAAGAGAACTGCCTGAATTTCTCCTTTAAGTCATCAGTAATTTCTGCGGTACGAACTGTGATCATGACACATTTAGAGTTCGTTCAGCATATATTTGTGAAAAACATTTCATCTATATTGTGTAAAAAGCGAGCTCTTACTGTAAAGTTTGTTGAGAACCTCAGACACATCTCCCTTGGTCTTGATGGTGTGAACGAGCGCGTACTCGTCAAATTTGGCGTCAACCACGCGCATGTCATTGTCATTTTCCCAACCTGATCAAATCGAACACATTTAGTCCAAAGGAACAAAGTACGATGAGAAAAAACAATCTGACCATTCGATTAAAGCAAAATCAGGAAGACTTACGCTGGCTGTGGAAAACAAAACGTCCTGGAGTCTCGGTTTTCTTGGCGAGGTGCGACATCCTCCAGCAGGAACCGTCACTCCTAGAAACAAATGAAGCAATTATAGATATTATTTTGTAACAATGAGAACATTATCAAAACTACAATAAAGCTAACTTAAGCTTACTTCAGATTCGCGTAAGTGAGGTCAAGGTCTCCTTCCTCGGTGGCCACCAGCACGGCAGTTCCCATTTTCATGTCTGCCTTGTGACTGACAAACCATTTTGCATTTGTAGCAAAGCCAACGAGATACCACTTTCCTCCCATCTGTAGAGAATACAAAGAGTTTAGTCCAACTTAACCTGAGAACTTCCTCAAATCTTATTAAAAACTCTGAGATAATTTACCTTTTCCAGGTCGAAGTCAGTCATGGGCATGACTTCAGCGGAGGCGAACACCGCACAGAGCAGAACGCACAGCATCTTCAATGCGACAGTCATGGCTGTAGAAGTGTATGGTTCTCTCTCTCAATGCAGTTCAGAAGGAAAAGTTGGGCTGTGAGGAGGAAACGAATGGCAGCCCCTGTTTTATCCTCAGTGAGCCCCTCAAACCCTCCTTTCTTCAGTCCCTCCCAGTCCCACTCCCACTCCCAGCTCCAAAGGAGGAATGATAATTACAGTCGTTACACAACGTGCAACATCCACGTGCGGATTTTTCCAGGTATATGTGGGTGTTCGTGAGCACTTTTAATACTTTTTTGTCCCCCTCAGGCCCCGTTTGACCTTCAGAATGCATGCAAAACATTTTTAATGTTTTTGAAAGAAGTCTCTCACATGCACGCATGTATCTGATCAAAAATGTTGTGAAATATTATTACAAATTTAAAAAGCCTGTTTTTAATATATTTTATAAAATGTAATTTATTCCTGCATTTAAAAAAATTATATGATTGATAAGTTATGACAACATTTGTTTTTACATTGCTTTTAACTTATCAAAAAATGTTCACCTTTTTTACAAGTTATTCAAGATTCAACTATTTTTTTTAAATCAGTTAAGTTGCATTGACTTAAATATCCAAGTTGATCGAACTTAAAAAGGCAGCAACCTGTTTTGAACGTTAGATTGGAAATTATGTCTGAATTAAGACTAAATAAAAGTGATTGTTATAAAATGCAAAGCAAAATATCAAAAATGCATTGTATCCATTTGCTCTTTGATTTTCATGTGTGTCAAGTATTATATGACAGGTGCTGCAGAAGCAACTCATTTTGAGTTGAAACGAATTCATTTCTTTTCCATAAGAAAATGATTTCCTCAGGATACTTTTTGGAATGTTGGACGTGCAACATGTTTACCCCTTGTGTTGTGTAACTCCGAAAAGTGTGGGCAGGCAGAGTTTCGTTTTGAGAGTTACATCACAAACCACACTAACAAAATTCCTTTGTCTTGTTTTATAAGAACTTTTTTGTTACATCAAGAATGGCTTAGGAAAATCACCACTTTCAATGCTTATTACCAAGGATGTAACCTAATATTATGGATTAGGATGATGCACCTTGTTGGTCCTGCTTATTATAGTGATTATGTTGAATGCTATTGTTCATGATCAAACTATAAAATATCATTTTTAAAACACACACCTTGAAATTACATAATAACTTTATTGTTGTAATTCGCACAGAGCTCACAATCAACAATACTGGCCAGTCAGTCTTAGGTCATATCTGGTGGAGAAGAAATGATAGAGTTGTTAGGAAAAAATAGAGATTATACAAATTTATGCAGTTTTTTTTTTTTTTTTTTTTTTTAGTTACAAAACCGAATTGAGGTTATGCAAGTTTAATAGCAACACATGCCTCTAAAACAGAAAACGTGATTTTAACAAGCAGGAGATGCACAAATGCCTGGATTGGCTCTTTTTGTAGGATGTAAATTTTCCTTCAGCCAATCAGTAAATGTTGCCTGACTCCAAGCAACAGCACTACAGAGTAGGCTATAGATTACAATAAATTCTTTGACGGCACTGAGAAGTTAAGAAATCTGATTCGTTTAGCGAATCGATTCGTTTGAATCAATTCGCAGAACTTTTCGCGCAGGGTTTTATGTGTTATTGTAACCTTATACGTAGTGAAATATTCAGTTAAACAGTTTATTACTCTGTATTCAAATACTTTGTATATTGTGTCAATGATGTTAATTATTGTAGATTTTGTATAGCTAGGCTACGCTTTGCGAATCGGTAGCCTACGTTTGAATCATTAAAAAAAAGAACCGTTACAAAATAACGTTTCGTTCGCGAATACGACATCAGAAAGCAGTTCTATTTATATTAGAATGTAACAATTATTTGGTTACTTCACAATATATGCCAACGTATCGTTCTGTAAATGTAGCCTTCATAATGAAATGTCATTTATTAAAAACAAACAATAGATCTTACCCAGGACCTTCTCTGTGGACTCGCAGAACCCTGGAAAAGAGTCTAGAATCAAAAAGAGTGTTTGGCTATTAACTATTTTATAGGCTATTTGTCCATTGTCTCACCGTAGTCTGGATACTGGAAAATGACGTCCAATCCCAAATTGAATGTCTTTGCACGATCCTCAAATTTATCCACGATATTATCAGGAACTTCACTCGACCGTCCTTTCAAAATAAACGAATATTTTATTGAAACAATGCATTTTTCCACAATAGCTAAGGCTACTCCACAATATGTTTTACAAATGACCATTTGTAAAACACATGGGCTTTTTAAGGTAACCCTAGATAACCCTAATGGAAACACTACAAACATGCCATCATGACATGGGGTGTGAGAAGTTTAAAATAGACACTAGAACCCCTACCATATAGTTTCATGGTCATTTTCCCTGCTCTCTTCAAAACCAACATAGCATATGAGCTGTAGTCCGTCTCAAGCACCATTATGTCCATATTCTCAGTAGGTCTTTTACCTGAATAAGAGGATGATAAAAAGATGTTGACACTTAACATTTTATATAAAAAATTAAACCAAGTGGCATTTATTTTTTAGGGTTTAAATTATGAACACTAAATAGGCTACTGTTTGAAAAGAAGACAGCAATTCGGAAAGGGGGGGGGGGGGGGTTGTCAAGAGAGAAATGCTGGTAACACTTTGTTACAGTGTCCTTGATATGGGCTACACATGTACTTATACACATACAGTAATAACAGTAAACTGTGCATAAGCAACTGACATTAAACAAAACCCTAACCATAACCTCAATATCACTAACCAAAATGTTATAATGGGTTAAACATATAGGTCTACTGTCAAAAGACCTTTATGAAAGTATTATACTTCAACATTGCCGATTGTCTGAGCTTTTTCCCAAACATGCCAGATGTAAGCAGTCCAGGTCAATGAAAATTTCACAACTAGAAAAACCCATCGGTTAGATAGTGGTATTAACGACAGGCTTTGAACTCTGGTCTGGTGGTCAGTGGAGTTCAGTCTGCACCAGATACCTACCTTTGAGAAAGAGCTGGCCCGGGGTCTTTGTTTTCATGTAGTCCTGCTTGATTTCCCAGCACTCAAAATTGCTAACAAAGGGCGAAAAGCACAATGGATGAATATATATAAATTATCATTTAAAAATGATTTAATTGATGTAATTTATTATAAATAATGTATGTATGTATGTATATAATAAATTATATATAAATATAATTTATTATTACATATGTATTTATATTTATGTTTTTGTACGTTTAATTTGAATGATTGAATATTTTAGACATGTCTTAGCAATTTAAATAAGAGACACTAATTATTTTGAGAAAGCAAGTTGTCTCTTGACTATGCTTTTGCTTAATTACATCAGCTGTATTTATACGACAGTGTATAAGGCTGGTGCCGAGCTGCCAAGGACTCAGAGAGGGCTATTCTCTGAGAAAACAAAGCACTTATCTGGAAATTAACATTTGAACTCTCTCTTGCAAAATTAGCATCTTCATCCGAGGAGCAATCACACTCACACCTGTTTGATCTCAATTTCATTCTCTCTTCTCCATGCTGAGATCAACTGAAAACTCATCCCCACAGAAGTAAACCAAAAGATAATAAAGGTTTTAGGAGTTTAGAGATAGCCTATTGCTTACTGTGGAGGGTGTGTCCTGCAGGGTCTTTGATGCAAATTACCTTCTGTCCCCAATAAGGTGTAAACTCTAATTTACCTGACTAATATTAAATAATTATATCTGATTTTATTCTGATCATCTGTGGAATGATTGACTCTAGTAGATTGTTGAATCCATGTTTTGTTTCCACAAATCTGTCTTCAGGGTTAAATACACAGAGCTGGGGTTTAGATGGAGCATGGGGAACATCAGGCGATATTCTAGATTTCTGACTAACTGCTTGACCTTAGGTTGTTATACGGTTGCATTTACTATATGGGACTAGACAAAAATACTATTGAAATAGCAAGCATGGGGCGGCATTACTTAATAGTAGCCATAACCTCTGATTATTGTTGTTATAAGTTGTTATAGGCCCATAGGCGACTTTAGGGGACTAAACAGAACTACTATTTAAAGGGATAGTTCACCCAGAAATTTAATTTCTGTCATTAATTACTGTCATTGTCATCAACCTGTAAGCCCTTTGTTCATCTTCGGAACACAAATTAAGATATTTTTTTATGAAATCTACTAAGGGGGAACTAACCCTTTAAATAATAGCAAGCATAGGCGGCCTATTAAATAGGTCTATAGTCATAACTACTGACTAATGATTAGACTGGCGACTCGAGTTTGTGTTTGAGGATGTGCATTTTTTTTTTTTTTTTTGAGAAACAAAAAAACTTGATCTTGTTAAGTCTCATAACCAAGATGTAATTAAGGGCCAACTGAGAGCAAATCAAACTGATTATACTAACTGATTATAAGTGAACTACGATCAGCTGGGAGTACTTGAATTCAGTAAATTGCTCCCCCTTGTGACTTAAGGAGTACTTACAGTTTTCTCACAGTGCTGACAGACACCTTGGCACCAGTTATAGTCCAAGTTACAGTCGTGCTCTCCACTTTGAAGCCGCTCTCCAGAAGATTCCTACACCGTGATGCTACACTAAGCAGGTACCACTTCCCACTCATCTAGAGAGAGGGATTCTTTTCTTCAATCTTATATATCAGATAGTGTATATTTCAGTAATAAACGGTGCATAATGCATTAATGAAGAAACATATCTGCAGTCTGTTGAAACAACATTGGGCAAGTTTAATGGCCTAGCAATGTGAATAATGTTCAAATGATGCGCTTTTATTCAGTTTGCCAAAACGAAATAACTTAAATGCTATGATGACATGTTGAAATATACCTGATCAATGTTGATGTTTTGACCTGGAGCTAGTCTTTCAATAGCTTTTTCTCCCTCGGTTTTCTTTGGCTTTGGTGGTGTTGGTTTAAAACGTGCTCTTCGTGCCTCGACAGGCTCCCAGAAACCGAGCCACACGAGCACAAAGAACAGATGGAGCCAGAAGCGAATCATGAAATCAGCTGTTTTTTTTATCTATTGCTTTACTAAAACCCGTTATACCAATCCTCCCCTACAGCTCTGTTAGAAGTTTGCTAGTAGCCTAAGAGTCAGTCAACTGTCCAGTGTTGCTACACAGATTAGGATGATGACCCTCTCATCAGGTTTATCATTAACCACTCGACAAACCCACACAAATACACATACTGTCGATTTCTAACAATGTTCACTTTAATACAACCAAACATGTAATTTACAAACTGTTTGTCATACACTGTAAAAAAAAAAAAAAAAAGAATAAAAAAAATTGCCGCCCCCTTTTGCATCCTTATGGACATTTTTGTCCTTTTCAGTTTTTGTTTTTTTTTATCACTTTGCCTGTGTTAATGCTAACTGCATAAAATTTGGCACAGGTGTGTATTTTTATTGTAATTTTACTATTTCACCGCCATTTTCTTAAAAAAATATTTTTTTGCACTAGGTACACAAAATACTCCCACTCAGTGCCTTTTGGACAAAAATGTCCCCATTGAAACCCATTTAAACTGCCATTTTTAATCCCAGTGCCATTTAACTATAAAACGATGCAATCTTTGTTAAGAGGCTTTCATTCTGTTGGCAAGGCTTCAAATTTTAAATTTTTACTATTTTTTACCAGATGGTGCCATTTTTCCAGGTTTGGTCTATAAAACAAATATCACTTTATTCCGGTTTTCTGCTTCGGCATATTATAGAGCCAATTGGATAAATTGTGCAACGATAATTGTGTGGGTGTGTTGGTATGGATGTCTGAGTGTGGTTTGTATGCGTGTAATAAAAAAATTTGTGTGTGTGTCTGTTTGTGTGCTTGTAAAATTTGAGAGAGAAAAACTCAATTGCAAATCTAAAATCCAATCACTGTGTACACCAGAGGAGGTTTGCTGGCACCCAATGGGGAAAATCTGTTACTGCACCCAAACAAAATCTTACCGAAAGCTCATTTTTTGAGATATCAACCTCAAATTTGAAACACAACTTATTTAGATTTATGGCTTTGAATTTATATCAGTTTTAGAGTTCAACATGTTTCATAAAATATATATTTTATATAAAATAAGGATAATAATGTTCATAAATAATTTTCATAAACTTAAACCTCTATACAAAATGTTTGGTTTCACTTTTTTCACTTGTTTAACTTCAGCAATAATCTGCCAAGGGTCCTCTTTAAAATGAGACCAAACTTAAGTCTTTGCTCCCAAGCCTAACATTTTTATGACCGTTTTTTGACATGGACATTTTTGTCCACTTTGTAGCTATGTGTAACTTTTTTTTGTTTGTTAATGCTAACTGGATGAATTTTGGCACAGGTGTGTATTTTTATTGTAATTTTACTATTACACTTCCATTTCCTTTGAAAAATCTTTTTTGCACTAGGTCCAAAAAATACTTCCCTCTCAGCGCCTTTTGGACAAAAATGTCCCCATTGAAACCCATTAAAACTGCAATTTTTAATCCCAGTGCCATTTAACTATAAAATTATGCAATATTTGTTAAGAGGCTTTCATTCTGTTGGCAAGGCTTCAAAATTTACATTTTTACAATTTTTTATCAGATGGTGCCATTTTTTCCAGGTTTGGCCTATAAAACAAATATCGCTTTATTCCTGTTTTCTGCTTCGGCATATTATAGAGCCAATTCGATAAATTATGCAACGATATTTGTGTGGGTGTGTTGGTATGGATGTCAGAGTGTGGTTAGTATGTGTGTTATAAAAAAATATGTGTGTGTGTGCATGTGTGTGTTTGTAATATTGAGAGAGAAAAACTGAACTGCAAATAACAAATGCAATCACTGTGTACACCAGAGGAGGTTTGCTGGCACCCAATGGGGAAAATCTGTTACTGCGCCCAAACAAATTCTTACCGAAAGCTCATTTTTTGAGATATCAACCTCAAATTTGGAACACAACTTATTTAGATTTATGGCTTTGATTTTCTTGTCGTTTTAGAGTTCAACTTGATTTATAAAATATATGTTTTATGTAAAATATTTTTCATAAATAATTTTCATAAACTTATACCTATATAACTTTTTTTTGGAATTACTTATTATTATTTTTTTACTTCAGCAATAATCTGCCAAGGGTCTTCTTTAAAATGATACCAAACTTAAGTCTGTGCTCCCAAGCTTCACATTTTTATGACAGTTTTTTGACATGGACATTTTTGTCCTCTGTGTAACTATGTGTAACTTTTTTTAATTGATGCACAAGGGTTAAGTAATCAACTTCAATGTTTAAGTCATTTACATTAAACTGACTTAAAAAATAGATGATTCTTGTATAACTCATAAGTTGACATTTGTTTTGATGAGTTAAAGCAATGTAAAAACACACGTTGTCAACTTATTGATCATATAATATTTTACAGTGTGCACTCTGAAAAAGAAAGTTTCTTTTTGCATCAATGGAACCTTTTACATCCATGGAACCTTTGGAACATTTATTTTTAACAGTGTTAAGCATGTGCATTTTCAGATTTTAATGTACCGGCAAAAGTACAAGATATCAAAATGCAACATAACAGTGGACAGGAAAATAATGACACCTTTTTGAGGTGAGAGATATGGGATGTTTAATCAACCACTTTCAATTCTTTCTTTTTCTTTTTTCCAAAATAAACATTGTAAACTGTAACTCATATCATACTACAATGAAGATTTGTTATTCAAATGCTAGGCTATTTGTTTTCTTTATTTTCAGTGTATAACTGTAAAATCCTTTCCAGTGATATAACTGTCTCTGCATTATTTTTCTCTGGGCTTAAAGTTTAGGGCTACGCTGTTGATGCAGAATCTCTGGCCAGTCGGATCTGGACCATCATCAAAGACATGTCCAAGGTGGCCATCACACTATAAAACAAAATGACATGTTACAATGGTATCTGGGAACCTAAAATAAAGAGTGGAATTTTTACTTGTTACATTGTGTGTTATCATTGCCAATAAAATAACCCAACTGGCTGACAATTTTGTCCTGCACACACATGTTTGCAGATAACCTCTGTTCCTGTGCTACCAAGCGAGTTGTCAGGGCGACGGACAATGTTGGCATGACTCTCGTCTTTTTCCCATGTCCCGTGAGCCTCAGAGAAGGACGGCCACCCAGTTCCTGCATCATATTTTGCTTCTGAGCTATTGGAGCCAGAGGCAGAATTGTATTTATCTTTGCAACTTATGCAAAACATATATTTATATATATATATATTGATATATATATTGATATATATATTGATATATATATTGATATATTTATTATATATCCTATATAATTAAAATATTTATTTATGTTCATTTTATATTTGATCATTTAATTTTTTTGTTATAATTGTAAATACTGTCAATAAAGTATCAGAGTGTCTTAAAGTAGAATTACACAATTTTAATTGTATTTTTTTATTCTTACCTAAAAAGAGGGGAGTCACAGCAAACACAGTGGTACATACCCACCTCATTGTGTTTCAGGTAGATGCCACTGAATGGCTAGAAAATAAAAGTGATTTACTTTCATAAAGAAATATGGAAAGAAAGTATTCATGCAATTTTGTGCATATGCATACACATGCATCTTGCATAATGTTCTGTAAACATTATTATTGCTTTAACTTACCACTTCTGTGCCTTTTTCTCTCGTAACAACATACTGTTCTGGGGTCAGCTTCCTCTGCCAATCTGTGGACTGGTCATAACGTGTCAATGACTGCAAACCTGTGCAAACAGTCATAAAATCAGTACATTTTTGTCCCCATCACATATGTAGGCTACACTGGATTACAAATGAAACCCACAATTTGTAAAGATTTGTATAAAAAATAAAAGCAGTTTATTAAGAAGTAATCCATGTGTTTATTTCTTTTTACATTTCCCTATAATGAGAGTGTTTTAAATGTCATCTTGGGAATATTGTTTTAATTCGTAACAATTTTTCAGGTTTACAGGTTTCACATTCCATCATGTTGGTCTTCTGTAGTATCCCTTTAACAAAAGTCTGGTCTTAAATGACATCATTCTCTAGGAAGTGACATTTCTGGTGAGAAAACAACACCATTATTTACAACACTGATTGTGATAGTATTGGATTTGTGGTATTAGCTGGTTTGTCTCAAATACCAATTTAAAACAAAAGAAATCCGATATATGATCATATCTAAGAAATATATAAAATATATACATTTATTATAGGCTATCTAAAAATTTCTTTAATATAGCTAATATTATTTACTTATAAAATTAAGATCATTATCAGTTAACAGCTGCTATTTTGTATTTTAATTGCATTTCTATTAACAACACAGGTTGATTTTATTATTTTATTTTTGAAAGATCATGCATCACACAATCTGTTTGTTTTGCAGGCCTTTCTCAAAGCCAACACTGCATTTGAGTAATCAGGTCACGCATGCATGTTCTGAACTACATGACTAGAATAACTGCACTTTGCACCGACTCACAAGATAACTAAATGCAATTGCAAACACATTTAAGTACACAAAATATAATACAATTACAATTGAAAGAATATCTTGAGGTATAATGTAGTTCGAAATAAAACCCTACCCGTTGACGTAGAAATAATCCGAATCCCTACAAATATCCTTTTTTGAGGTAAAATTGATTTGGCAGTCGCTCCGCTGGAAACGATAGAGGAGACACGAACTAGAAAACGTGACATTTTTCTCGACATATTATTTCATGCAGTGAGTTTCTCCACTAGTTAACATGGGCTACTCAATAGACTGAAAAGAAGCTGAATTGAGCTCAGTTGTCTTCTCTTCATTCCCCCCCTCACAGCTCGACCACCGGAAAACGGTCACAACTCACACACTTTATGGGTCACGGTCGACTGGCTGAAACTGATCAAACTTTGCACCCTTTGTCACTACTAACCGCATCATGCATGTCGAAGTTTTTACAAATTAGATTTTGGAGTTCCTTGTTTTCTGTCTTATCGGAATGTTTTCGCTCTTATCATCATAGGATATTGAGACTTTGACCTTCATAAGGGAGAGAAACGTAAACTTCCTCAACTATATTATAATCAGAGATAATTCAATGGAACGGAGATTTGACCAGAGTACACATTAGTTTTGATAATACTTTATTGGGATTTAATTCACTTCAACAGATTATAATAATTAAAATATGGCTTAAAAATATGCCTTAACCACTTTGCCACCCGCCTCATTGTTTCTCAAGACACCATAGCTTATATATGGCTATTAAATGGTCTGATATGCTAGAGCTCCTGGTGAGTTGCTTTTCATGAGGTTTCCAGGTTGGTGCATGAGATCTATAATATAGCTTTCAGGCTGAGAGTATCCATGACGTTTCTTTGGACCAGTGATGAGGATTTCGTTCCAGGCACGGTTGTATTCTCCTCTAATGAGACTGCAGCTCAGCCCAATTCGGTCTGCAAGAACCTAAAAAGTATTGCAATTAATCTCTTACACAGAAATGGGCTGCAATTAAGTTCATAACCACCACAGACATTTATGGGGACACATCCCAACAAATATTCACAAAATATTTTACAATCCTGAAGATGTGTTTTGGTTAAAACAAAGTCACTGTCAGGTCAGTTTTATACACAGTCAAGCAAAGAGAGGGTCCTGTCAATAGCCCAAAGAATCTCTGGAGCATAAATTACCTTGAAAAGCAACGCTCTATGAAAGTAGATGCCCTTTTTTATCTTTCCAATGAGAATGATGTTTGAACAGGCTTCAAACTTCAGCTCACTAATGTGAAGTTCCCACAGGAAGTCATGCAGCTTCTCTGGCTCAACCTGTCCGCCCATTGCCTCACACACTAACCTGTGAGAAATGATCACTTGTCACATTTCAGCCATGTGGATGTTGAATATGGGATGACATTGACAATGAAAAAAAAAAACTCACATGGCCAAAGCCGTATACATTTTGACCTCATCCTGAAGTGGCGAGATGGATTCGGCAGCCTCCTTGAGAAGGTTATGAAATGCAGCGTCATACGGCAAGCTCCATGCTTCATCTACCACCGTCTGCTGTGACTTACTCTCATCCTCATCCTTCTTTTTCTCATCCTCTTTGTGACCCTTTCCCTTCATTTTACTTTAGAAAGACAGATGAGAGTGAGAAACATGGTTTACAGGAAACCCATCTATAAGTATACACAACACACACACCTTGGTGTTTTGCTGCTCCTTGTGCTGCTCATAACAGATGAGGACATAGTTTCTGTTGGACTGTCTGGCTTACGATCATCTGGTCCCTTGGTAATAAATCTGATAGAAGAGAAAGAAAGAATGAGCATTTTTAAACCTTGACATCCACTAAGCAAAAACAGCAAACTACTTCGCAACATTTCCTAGAGCTGTGGATCAAATGACCTATGTGCTCACTTGGCAACCAACTAATTTGAATGGTAGAACCGAATCCACAAACACAAAAACAAAAATTTAAAGCAGTCAAGTCAAGTTCTGTTCACAATTTAGAATCATTAAATGTAATTAACTTAAATTGAGCATAAATTGTGATGTGCCTCAGTGGCAAAATGTCCATTTCTCCAGTGGGAGCTCTAGGCCAGATTCCAGAGCCAATGCGTGCAAAAGAATTTTCCCCGGGGAGAAATTCATCTATCTACATCTATTTGTTGTGCAACAGAGGTATTTAATATTCAAGTGTGCTGCTGTAGAACTAATGGCGTGGAAGAGGACAGGCTCTGAAAGTCTTTATTCTCCACAAAGAGCTTGTTTTGTCACTAAAGTGAGATTGCAGAAGTGAAAAGAGATCTAAATACTAATGAAAATAGACTAAGTGTGCCCCCAAAATGACTATGAATACACTGAATCAGTAAAGAAAACTGCTATTTGTGGAGCTGTTTCATACAATGTTTGACGTTGGAGGAAGTTTCATGTGACAGTAATTTAAAACAGTAGGTTTGGATTTCATAAGCATAACCCTTGGCCTTAACATACTGATCCGGGGGCTTCCCATTAACCGCAATAATGGCTCGATGTTGGTTGACCACTTGTTTTGATAGATCCTCTAAGGTAGGAACCTGATGACCCATTCTTATCTGCAGAAGGAGGAAGAGAAAGCAAGAGAAAAGAGAAAGAGTTATTGATTTGTGCAACCTCTACGATTGAGGGTTTCTTTTTCTCTTGAAAAACAGTCACATTTGGACCTGTCCAGGGTCGTAGAAGCCATCAGTGGTTATATCGCAGGCTGACAGGTGTCCTGTCAGACTATACTTCATCGATAGACTGCTGTCCAGAAGCTTCTGTAGTGCCAGCTCACTAAATTTGTTGTTACGGTGTGGTGACAGGTTGATTTCCTGGAGTATCTCTAGAGCTCTGTAAGATTGATGACAACAAAACCAAATGACAGAACATTCAATGAAGTTACCCTTCAACAGCCAAAAATATCTTAAAAAAATGAATTTCTCAAAACCTGTCAGAAACATGTCCAACAGGTCATATTTCACCCCCGAATCAAAAGAAATCAAGAATGTTTTGGCACCATCAATATTTTATTAGTAGTAGTATTATATTTATGATATTATTTTTATGAAAATAATAATGTAATGTAATGATAAAAAGTGTGAGAAAAAATTATATTATTTAAATTATTATTTAAACTATTTTTGTATGATGGCGGTATTTGTTGTTCTTCCATTTATTTATTCAAATGTACTTAATGTAAAATTACTGTGATTACAATATAATGAAAATGGCTACTACTGAGAATAATGTGAATTATGTCAAATGTCCAGATACATTACAGGAATAAGACGTTTAAATAATTAAATTTTTTTACTGTCATGAAAAATAATCACAAATGCAAAATCTGTTCCTAAAGTAGGCTTCACTTTCTTCCAGAATTCTGATATTTGGGATTTACTGCCATCTACTGCTTTTGCTTTAACAGTTCATTCTAATGTTGTGTGTGTGTGTGTGTGTGTGTTCTTTTTAAATCGAAGTCTGATAACACCTATTTGAGTATAATATATATAGAAATGTTGAACTTGAAACATTTAGTGTATTAAAGCATAACAAATGCTTACCCAGCATTGCACAAGTCTAGGGCTGTTAATTCATCGTTTGCACACACACTAATTGCCCAGCAAGCATTTCTCCGAATTTCAGCATGGATCGATTTAAGCAGTTGAGCTAAAGGTGACAGGCCTCCAACATTTTTCAGCTGCATGTAAAGTAAAACAGAAAAACAATCACCAGAAAACGCACATAATGCAATGTAGAACAGTGTCCATTTACGTCGTTCACACCCCTGACCCAGAAAAAAAAGTTAGTTTTTTTTATAAACGGTGGCGATTGTGTAGACCTTTGAAATTGAGGCTTTTGTGCAGTGCACTGCTACCTCTAGCCTGGCCTCAGCATCACAGGCCAGTGAAGCCACAGCCTGCATTGCACTGATGAGTGTGTCGTTGTCAGTCGAGTGTAGCAGCTCCACCAATGCTGGCATAGCTTCATGGGCCAGAATGCTTCTGCGCAGCTCCTCCTGCGATGCCATGTTTGTCAAGACTGATGCCGCATACACAGCTGCTCCCATGCAGCTGTCTCGCAGCTGTTGCACCAAGAGCTTGTCACCCCCTGCATCATATATAGCACTGAAAAGGGAAAAAGAAAGGTACATTACTGTAGAGTTGTGCAATCTACTTATTGACTATAGAATCTTGTTGCACTTCAAGACTGACTCACTAAGCATTGAGATTGTTGCTGTTGGTCAGGCTGGACAGGGCCTCTGCGGCGGCCATTCTCAACTCACTTGCTTCACTGTTCAGCAGCTGCACGATGGGCCCGATCGCATCTGAAACGCACAGACACATCAGCTCTTCAATGACACAAAAGGACAAGATGATAAATTGAACAAAACTAAAGCCAGATTGAATTAAAAAGGGAAATAAGTCTGGGGTCTACTCTTGATGTAAATCAGATTACCCAGGCATCTGAAGGTCTCCTTGCTGGAAAGGTTTTTGCTCACTGCTGCCACAGCCTGGCAAACAGCAGTACGTACACTCTCATTCTCCTGCATGAGAAGGTCAGTGAGGGCTTTTTCTACATTTCGGTCATGCAGAATTTTTCTGTTCTCAACTTTATGGAGAGAAAAAAAAAGACATTTTTACACAATTAAATAAAAATAAAAAAAGCTGCTCTGTCTTTTGCTTTATACTAGTTTCTACTACTATACTCTGTCAGACAAAATGAGCAAAACTTAAGCTACACCTATATGTTCCCTTAGGGTACTAATATGTACCCTTTAAATCGTCTTAAGGTACTACTTTGTACCTGTAAATGGGCCAGTGACAAATAAGGTTTTCAACTGATAAAAAATTTAAATAGGTTAAAACTGCACATCAAAGTAGTTATTATCTTTATGGGGATGTTTTTTACTTATTATTAACATCTCCATTTTAAACAATGTATTTAAAGCGGTTTAACTGAGAAATATGTGACGACACCAGTCAAAATGTCATACGGGATAATGTTAATGCATTTTCTAAATATTATGATAATACAACTTTTCAAATAAAAAATACTTAATAAATATGTAAAGTGATGCAGTAAACAATATTTAAAGCTCAGAAAAAAAATCTGCACAACTATTTTTTTCTCATTATATTGTGATTTCTTTAAACGTGACCCTACTTGTTCAAGTTCTTTACACACATTTTAACACTGCAATGTGATTTAAAATGCAAAATGTCTGAAAAAGTTTTATAGGACTTGATATCATGTTATTATTGTTTCCTCAACTCCATTAAGTGAAATTATGCATTTCAATGGGAAAAAACAGCGTTATCCCGCCTGACTTAAATTGTTACCCGGTATGACACCATATGAGTTAACACATGAATTGTCATTTTTACAACAC